TTCTATTAGTCAGGAGCTATTGTGTCTGCTGTAATAATAGAAATGTTTCCTTCAAAATCTAAATTTAATTAGCACATTTTCCTTTTATTATATTAATAATGAGTGTCTTATCCTGCCTTAAAAAGCTGCCTAAAATATTAAATACTGACAAAAACTGCTTTACTAAAAAGTGGTACGAGTCCTTCTAAAGCTTCTGTAATGAAATCTGAAGCATATGCCTGTGAAACCCTTTTTTGTGAATTGCATGAAAAAACTGCTGTTTTAAAAAAGCTCACTCGTCTATGGTGACGTCACTCAGCTTCTTCAGGTTGTCTCCCTCTCCTCCATACACTGTGATTCTCTTGGGCATGTAGTTGTCATCTGTAGCGTCCACTGTCAAAATCAGCTTACTAATGGATAAAAGGATGCAACAACAAACAGTTTACCAACAAGATAAAAAGTCACGTGAGATACTTATGTCAGCCAACAATTGGTCATTACTGATTAAACTGTTGAATATTCTTTCAGCCAGTTTTATATTTTATGAAATGTTTTATTTAATGAAAAAAAATCACAACCTTCTTAAGTCCAAGTCTTTAAATACCTGTTTTGTTTTGTTTTGTTTTTTACCAAAAGTTCAAAACCCAAAGATTTTCAGTTTACAATGGTATGTGACAAAGAAATGAGGAAATATTTGTGGAACATTTGAGGAAAAATTATTTTAGGGATTGATTTTTAAACTTGTTGCTATCCAGAATCAAGCATTACTGCCCATATTCATATGAATGTAAGCGGATCTGTTGTCACCTAAGCTTATTTATGACTTGGTGAATAAGTGAGCGAGCATCTGGCCACAGGTCCTACTCACACTACGGCCACAAGAGTGATGCATGCATAGTACACACAGTCAAATATGGTAAGTACTATTTTACACTCTACTGAAGGCAAAAACTAAAATGTATTATATAGTGAGATAATAAAAATAGTCCAAGCAGAAGTTTAAATAGTTTCTTTCCCCGGGCTATTACACTGATGAATAGCTAGTCTATGTTGCGCTTTTAACTTGTATATATTGTGTATATTGTAATTGTATACAATGTGTGTTTATTTTGTTTTTATGTTGTGCACATTGGGGGCCATTGAGCTGGAGTCAAATTCCTTGTGTTCTTGAAATACTTGGCAATAAAGTTTATGCTTAAATATACAGCGGACATATTTAGAAATGACTAACACCATTATTAAGCACAGCTCCTTACTTGACCACTGTGCCTCTCTTCATGTGCAGGCGGATCCAGTGCTGTCCCTGCATGCCGTCACTCTCCCAGTAAGTTTCCGTGTCGCCATCTGTCAGACAGCTTGCCCCCCCACTGGGATCCTCCTGTCAACAATTATCAAAGTAAGATGAGAAAGTAAAACAATAAAACTGAAGCCTTGCTTGACTCGGAGCTTTATTTCAATAGCTTTGTCTAAAGAAAGAACCTATACACAGTTGCAGCTTTTTAATCTCCAGGGTAAAACTCAAAGCTTCTCTCTCTATTTTTTGTTTTGGGAAAAAAAAAAAGACTAACTTGGTCATTTTAAGCAGGGACCAAACACAAACACATTATCTGTACTTCTACAAACTGTTACTCACCGAACATGAAGAAACATCAATGCTGGTCACACACGCTTCACGCGACCCAGGTTCTCGTCCTCTTGCCCTATGTGGTCATAGAAATAGTGCACCAGGTCCTCATCACATTCATACGTCCAAGTTGGAGGAACATACCTTAAAGATTTGAGGGATAAACACATAATTCTGAAAATCTGCTGCTCCCCCAAAAGTCTTGGCACCCTAATTTGACTTGAATTTGGTGCAAACAGGCCCACCTTAGCTTCTGGACGGCTGCAGCATCACACTCTGCAATTTTGGGTTTGGAGCTGATGTAAAGCGCATTCTCCACATCCACCACCTGTTCCCACCTGTTGCATGGCTTGTGGTCGTAGCCAAAGAGCTGCTGTTGTCTGCTGACAGTCTCTGGTGACTCTGCCAACACCAGCCTGTCACCTCCCTCTGTGTGTTTACACACCAGGATCCAGCCTTCCTCCAGGTCCTGACCCGGATGGTGCTCCTCCAGCTGCTCCTGGACACACACGAATCTATTTCAATGACTGTTTTCCAGCCACATTTAAAATCATCAAAAGTGAATAAAGTAATAGAATGTGTAGATGAAAAGGCACAATAAGGCTATTTATTTATTTATACCTCATGACAACATTAATGTTATCATGAGGTATGGAAAATGTGATGTCAAGTTGTCTACAGCAAAATACTGGACAGAGAAAAAGATTCTTTTGAGCTGATATTCTCCTCTATTTCATATATTAAGGGAAATTTAAGGATTTCCACATTTTTATTGCACTCCAAAACCTTTCCGTAGTTCCACTCCACATTATCATGACTGCATTACTGTACTCGGAGGTATCTTTAGAAGATTTTGCATATACACAACATTTTAAATTAAAGATATGTGGGGCTGAACCAAGTTCAGCAGCATGAGTTTGTCCTGACTGATCAACCTTTGGGACACGTTATATTTACTGCAACAACAAAATGCTGATGGTTTTTTGTTTACAGAATGATGAAAGCTATGACTTGCAAGATGATGTGACTGTAACCAGTGAGAGAGTAGTTTACCTTACTGATTTTGACCCATAGGCCCTGGCTGTTACAGTATTCCTCCCCTGTTGTCCGGATACACGTCCCTTTTTTTGGCTCAATTGTGTACTTGCATGATTTCTTGCTGTGAGGAATCTGATGAGGACTTTCAAAGACGGAGACGAGGCTTTTACCCACGGTGGAGCCTCCTGTAGATGTTCCGGAGGTGGTGGACGATGAATCCTTGCAGATTTTGTAGCACACCTCTTTGGGGACATAACACAGACACTCTGGCACTGACTCGCTCCTCCTAAAACACTCAATGCACCTGTTCAGGAAGCGGATCCTTCCGAGCAGCAGGTGAGGATTGTCGCCCAGCGACATGATGATGATGACGGTGACAGTCAGCAGCTCAGCAGCATACTGAGGGGGACGATAGCTGACAATATACCACCGATCTGCCTTTATTTTCCTGCCTGGATGTACAGGTGCCCCTGTCCGACAAACCAAACAAAACCGAACATTCTTGAGGTTTCAATAAACAGCAGGCAAATCCTGTGAATTAATTAGATTTTAACTTTCTTTCACCAGGAGTCTAAAAGGTGAAACAGAAATCCTCTAATCATGAACTAAAGTTCCCTGACACTGTCATTAACATATGAGCTACTACTCAATGATAGTGAGTCAGCTGCTATTAGCAAGTTAGCTAGGTGTTAGGCAGGTAAACGACTGCACCCTGAGACGTTTACTGCAGCTGTAATCGAAAAAATGTTAGACTAGCCACGCTGGCTACATTTGGCCAAAAGTTGAGTAGAGAATATTATTCGAGAGCTAAAAGGCAGACTGGTGACTAGAAACAGTAGATGTTAGCATACCTGTAATACTGAGAAATATATTTGTTGTAAAACGCCTTTATTGGTTATGTAGATTTTTGTGGGCAGACAACGCGGAAGAGCAAAAGCTACATCTGACCCGCCTACTCCTCCTTCTTCTTCTTTTATTATATTTTCATATTCTTCTTCTGTGGTTCACTGGTTGCATGCCAGCTTCAGGTGCGTTACTACCACCTACTGAATTGGAGTGGGGCTCCACAATTGAGATATTTTGACCCTTCTGAAAATCCATCTGCATTGAATTGAGTTATTCATTCATTTTATATTTTAACTACAGAAAGGTTTTATTACATCAAAACCTTGTGAACTGAAGTAAAAACATATGCCAACTGCACATGCAGTGGTGTGATGGAATGGAAATATGTGAAAAGAAGTACTGTACATCAGTACAATTTCAATTTTAAAGTTTTAATATTTTACTAGAGTATTTCAATTTCATTTTTACTACTGCAATGCACCTCAGATGGAAAAACATACCACAAATGTCATTTATTTGGCAACTAAGGTTACAAATCAATTGGCAAATTTCATACACAATAACATGATCAGCTACTGCAGGTAGTAGATAAAGTAATCAAGATATGCTTCACCTCAATCAGCTACAATACAATGCTGTTAACACATTACATGTGATGCATCATTAATGATAACTGAAGAATGTAGGCTAAATGATATGATAGTTTGAGAAGACTTGATACTTTCACTTTCAAGATTTTATTCTTACATTGAGCCTTTAATTAATATTACTAAAGTAAAGGATGTAAGTAAAGGATCAGATTATATGGTTAATGGGACAAAAAGATGAAAAGAAACCAAACTAAATTAGGATGCTAATGCTCTCAGCATGTCTCAAAGTTTGCAAGTGCCTAGGCATTCAAAATGTACAGTTGTGCATAATTACCTGAGATCATACATGTTTGTAAAATTATCATAGTTTCATAAATGGAAAATAATATATATATTTGCTCACATTCTTTATCAAACTTATAACACAGGGTATGTTTTGTTTCACAAATGCATTTAGTTGTGTCAAATCAAAATGAGTTTAATACAACATTTTTCACCTTTGGTTCAAAAACACACTTGTTGTACCAAGGTGTGCAGCAATAAGTCAGATATGTTAGCAGTTATGTGCTACTGCAACTGCAATCAATGTCTTTTCTTGTTCTTTGTGATTGGTGGCAGTGATGTCACCCTCAGGGGAAACATCAACATCATCTTTATTTGGGTACGACAAGACATTCATCAGAGAAGAGAGGCTTTCATCACGTAGGATGCCTTCACCTCTCCCTAGAAGACGGTTGAGTCCGTCTTCCAGGGAGCCTTTAGGAGGTAGAAGCTGTTTCTTTCCAGGAGTGTCTGCAGGCTGGACAATCTCAAGATCCTCAGCACACATCCTGCAAACATGGGAGACATTTCAAGTTTTACTAGACTGTACAGCAACTGCAGAAATAGGGATTGAAACATAAAAAAACCCATTAGTTTATACGTCATGTCAAAGGTGGAGCCTTTGAAAGCTGGTGTGAGAGTCTCGGCTGCTGTCGACAGAGTGTAGGGGATGGAGAAATAGCCCTGCTCCCAGTGCTTGTCCTTCACAATTGGAGCCAGGTTCTGGTACATATCATCCACAGCCAGCATTGACACCTACAGGAGAGAGACAAAGATTTAAAATGAAAGCAATTATTTTATTATGGTTGACCTGGAGAGAAGCCTTGAGGGGAAAACCTGAATGTTTCTGTCAATTAGCTGGTTGGTTTCAAAGTCATCATCATCCTCGCCAAACGGGTTGATGATCAGCTCTCCCACCTACAGAATGGACACAACACAGGTGTTCTGCCACGACAAAAAAACTCATCTGTTTCTACAAGTGATATGTCGTTTTACCTTCAGCCAGCCAGTGTAGAAGAAGAACTGCAGCAGGGTGAAAACAGGAACATACATGTCTAGTTTGTGATCCTTGTATCCTTTCTCAGGGTTCAAGAATTGGCGACCAATAGCACAGAAAGCAAAAAACGAATAAACTGCAATAGTGACTACCTGCATAAATTAGAAATGATATGTGATCAAGTCAGTTTTGTAATAAAATTAGAATTTGTTTTGCCTAAAAACTGTGAAATACATAGATGGTTTAAATAGTTTAAAGTGAAACCGTCAGCTTAATTCATTACTAATTACTATTTTCATTACAGAGCTATCTGCTGATTATTTTCCACATTAACTGATTCATTGTTTAGTTTGCAAACACAAACAAAGAAGAAATAACTTCACATAGTTTGTTTAATAAAAACAATAAATAATTACCAAAAAAGCAGTAAATTCTATTATTTAAGAAGCTGGAACCATTAAATATTTGGCATTTATGTATGAAAATAGGTTAAACTTTAATAAAATAGAAGGCAGAAACATATAAATTCAATAACTTATTGTTTTAGTCATAGCTACTTGTTGGGCAGTTTAATCAGCAGCATCATAGTTTTGTTAGCTTAGTTCTTGATATGGTTTGTATGTAAAACCTTAATTTGTAAAGTATAGCTGTTGAATAAATATAGTGGAGTAGAAGTTCAAGTTGGAATGAACAGATAATACTCAAATGAAGTACAAGTATCTCATTTTGTACAGTACTAGAGTAAATGTAGTTACATTGCACCATGGCTGATGCTACCTGAGTGTAGACCAGAGGGATGCTTATCCAGTCATAGTGGAACAGGAGGCTGCACTTGGCTCTGTACTTATTAAGCTCCTGCAAGAGCAGTAGAATAGTTTATTCTCTTACTACATAAATGTACAGTAATGTATGCATGTGTTTGTATATCTCCATCTCTCATTTACACTTTGCAAGCTGTAAAAAATGTATGAGTATCTGGCTGTTTTGTTCATTTACAGACAAAAACAAACTACTCACATCCATCAGAAGTCTCAGCGCTATGTCGTCCCTCACTCGACCCTCCTCTCTCGCTATGGACGCCAGGTTAGAGAACCACGTCAGAGGCATCCAGTACTTGTTGAAATCAGAGTGCAGCGACTCGAACTTTTTCAGCTCATGTGTAGTCATAAATCCTGCACAGACAGACACAGTTTAGCATAATCTGTTTAGTGGGATCATTTCTGCATCTCAGTTTTTAATTAAACAGGCAGCTAATTAATAGTTAGTTCCGGTGTTAGAGAAGTTTAGTACAGTAAAAACAAAGCAATATATAAAAATATTTAAGTGTATGTAAACATATTAAGTATTGGTGTTCTCCTTAGTTACTACAGTAAACATACAGTGCTTGATTTCTCTCCACTTTTGGACTCACCAGCCTCCACGATGTGCTCCAGTGTTGGGAAACGCTTGTGCACTCTTGTACTAATGGAGCGCAGAATAAGAACTGAAGATAAGTTGGCATATCTCATGAGTGTGCGTCGCAGCAGACGACCCCGCTCATCTGTCCCGTGGACATTTCCAGACACCACCATCATCAGGTCATCAGGCAGTGGGAAGCTGGTGTACTGACCCCACCATCGATTAAACGCTAGGGTCACATAAAAGCCTGGAAGCAGAAATGGCAGTTATGGAATTTTATCTTGACTCGTGTTACACAGTTCCAGTTCAGTAAGACTTACCCAGTACAAACAAAACTGGGATGAAGCTGGTGTTGGTGAACTGATCACAGTAAAGGGCAACACGCTCAAATAGGTCCTGCTGGTTTGGTGAAAGAAGGAACCTGTGGGGCAAATAAACTGTTTTTATTGAAAGACATGCACTAAAACATGATCATACTGTAGGAAATGACAGAATTTAAAGATAAAGCCATCTTTATTTACCTGTAAAACACACTGAAAAATAAATAAATCCCACAAAACACCAGGAACTCCTTATAAAGCAGCTTGTAGATGCTCCCCTTCCACCTGAACAGGAGCCTGGAGAAGCCACCAAAACTCACATTGGCCACCTCGAGTGTATAAGAAATTGTCATGTTTGTTCTGTGAAGTGACAGCAGGAAATCCCTGTAAATGCTAAAACAACATGTACTCATTCCTGTTTGAAATGTGATGTAGGCATGACCTAAACATTTTATTAGGAACATCTCCATTAAAAACAAAAAGATGTCTTACCTGTGAAGGACCTGGTCCTGTGTTGAACTCTGTTGCCCTGGGAAGAAATGTTCTTCCTCTGGGTCTCAATTTAAACCTCTCAGTTGCGTTGTCATAAATTAACATTTCAAATTTATTACCTGGGAACCTGATGCCTAAGAGATATAGGCCTGCACCTACAGAGTGCATGGAAACAGCCTTTTAATAAAGAATACTGTGCTTTCCTCAAAAGACATCACACACATTGGTTTAATGTGTCACCAGTTTTTTGCTATAGTTTTTGAGGAAACAGGAAGTTTCAGCCATTCTTTAGAGTTGATTAAAGAGTTGTATATCTTCTCGCTGAGCTGATCTGGCTTGATTAAAACCCATAATCGTTAAATTACCACTGATCGGTGTTGATTCATTGATTAATCTGTAGATTCATTTTTAAGTTTCTCGAAACAAAGAAAAGCATCAAATTATCACATTTGACAAGATGAAACAATGTAAAGTTGAGCATTTTTTGCTTAAAAATATCTATGAATAATGTTTATGTACAATTTATAATGCTTTCCCAAACTAAAGCTTACACAGTATTTTACAAGAAGGCACAACATCCAGTAGCCTACATGTTACTTAAACCAACCTAAATACAACAAGGAAAGGTGATTTTAAAGAAACTACAAAACAGGTCAAATCAAAACAGCTGCTGATTCATTCTATGTCCAAACTAAATGTTTGTTTTTATGTTCTTGTGCTTTTGTGCACATTTATTTGAGTATGAAAATACACTAGAGGCCATTATAAAACAATCACATTTTAAGGGTGCTCTAAGTTTTGACCTCTAAGATTTATTTTCTGTGTCGTGCCGCTGCCCTTTCCACATTAACGAGAGTTATAGGTTATGTATATTTAGAAGATAGAAAACAACATTTTGATATTAACATACAGTATGTGTAAAAAGCCACGCTTTTTCTATCAACATGCTATAAAAATCAAAAAACAAGTGCTTCGGACCTGTCATCTAAGTGGATCTAATGCCCTGCCATAGAAAATCATATAAAACACTGCTCGGCTCTCTTTGTTTGTTTTTCACATGGTTACAATAGTCATGTTTTATTCTCCAACTTTGTTTGTGCTCCCCTGACTTACTATTTATGAGGCCATCTATCCTCCATCACAGCCTGGACAAGTTATTGCTGTCGACTTCCCTACTCACTGTCAGTGTCATTGCATTTATTACCCATAGATTTATGTATTTGTCACAGTAAAGTGTTCTCAGTAGGTGTGTTTGGCTGATAAATGGTGTTTCCAATCCTATCACTAGATGACACTCTTGTAATGTGCATCCTGGCTCTCAGCCTCAGCCCTGGGGCCTCACTGTCTGTACTTATCTCATAAACAAAGACACTGAAAGGCTCTCTTATTGACAGGAAAAAATAAAAAGAACATCTGACATATTTAATACCATGTTACTAGGTCCATGTATAATGCTCTTTATCTATGAAAGCAGATGTTCACTGTTAGTTTTACAATTTATGTCTTTTTTGTGTGTTTCTTGGAGCCATGTAAGAATTTTGTCCATTCTCATTTCCATTTTATTAGGGCTGTTGATACTGGTGTTTACTAAGTCAAGGGTTTTCACTTTCACATTTGGGTCTCTATTCTATTTATCAAATGAAAGGACAATGGCTGGTCTGTGATCTCGATGAAATCTCAGATTAGCTGCCATGGATACTCCGACAACAGTTGTAGCCGAGTCATTTCCTGGCCTCAGTTACTGGATTTACTGGTCAGGGGCTAAGACCTCTGAGAACAGGACAGAAAGCACAGCTACATGCTGATTGTTTGAGTAACCCAGTGCTGTAACAGCAATTTCTCATGATGAGTGAATGTAGGATTTCAGGTAGCTGAGGCCAATCTGGGCCATTGTCTGGGCAGAAAGAGTTGCTGTCCCCCAGAAAAAGATCAAATATAAAGATCTGGAGCAGTGACCTAATGACACGCATGGCTTTTATATTTCCTCTCTTCTTTGTGGAGTTATTACTCATCTTTCACATGCACAATCCTGATGCAAAAATCTTGAAAAAACTTTTATTTCTCTTTCAACAATATTTCAAAAATGTTACATACATTTTCCAGTATTCCCATTTTTTGCTGCTGCTGTTATTTAGCAACATTTATTGCAGAAGTGTTTATATTATTATTTTTCTGGTGTAAAAGTAGTGAAATTTAAACATATTGACTCACCCAACCTCAAAATTTCCCATTAAATATGTGTAATGTTTCATTTGACAGTTCACTCAGACCTGTTCCCTTAGTTGTTGCTGTGCTTGTCAAGCTTTCCATTCGGACACAGCAGCACATGATACAGTGGCTCCATGCATTGACTGAAAACACAGTCTCCAGCCGACACGTTCATGTTTCCAGCTCACTGGGTCCCAGAACACGTTAAAGGGTTTTAAACACAACTGGTGGCTACACACATGATACAATATGGTGTTTGAAGACTGTGGCTAAAGCTAAAGAATAAAGAAGCATTAATCGTGATTAGAACTAGCTAGTATAGTAGAATAAGCAAAAATGTAAGATGAATCTGTTATTTTAGTCTCATCTTTAGTATATTTGTTGGTATTTTCAAACAGTATGTAACATTATGAGAGAAGAGGCTTTAGGATGAGGACTAACTTGCCACCAGTGCTTAGCAGAGAAATACTATGCTGTGTGGTATTCATTAATGTTTTGTCTTTGTGTCTTCTTGTTTTTACATAGTGTGTGACCGCACAAACTAATATTACCTAGTCAATGTCATGAGCGTGGCAGTAGCACTGTGCTATTGGTAAGCCAGTTAGCTGGACATACTAACAAATGCAGTTTTAGATTAGAGTAAATAAACCCATTTACTCCATTCCTTGCACCTTTGCTCTTGTGTATTTGATTTTCACTCTCTACATATCAGTTTAAGCAGCGTGTAGATCTAACCGGCTTGGCATCAATCATTACAACCCCTGGACAACACTTGAAAGTCCAGACAGGGCTGTGTTACAATCGCTAAGATGACTAGACAGTGATTATTCAGGGTTGGGGTATAATGAACAGTCAACTAGAGACTGTAAACTGCCTCCAGGCTCCTAAAACCCCCCAAAATGTCCAACAAAACATGCAGAAATCAAGACAAAACTTAGGATGTGACCTCAGTGTCTCCATCCACAGCCCTGTTTACATTATTTTTCTGTGCAGAAATGGTACTAAATTACAAAATGCAATATTCACTCTTTTGTCTGCCATTTGACTGAAGACCTTTTGGCATTTGGAAAGCAGTAAACCTTAAAATGGTGATAAATAAAGTTTTAAAGTAAAATATGTTAAAACCTCCAGGAAGCTTCCCAGCTGTCGCTCCTCCCTCGCTCACACAAACTATTTAGGATTCAAAGGCAACAAGTACGACAGTAAGACATCTGTCTGTTTCCAACATCCTAGATAACAATCGGCACCTCTACAGTGACCCCAGTATTCAGTTTTGTCCTTTGTGTAGGTCTCCTCTCCAGTGTCGTTAGGTTGTAACATGCAGACATGCTCTGCATCTCAGCTCACTACAGAGACTTTTATCTAAAATCTAACTGGCCTGGCATTTTGCTACCTGTATACACATTGTAGTTTGTGACCCAAAGCTTAAGAATCTGTTCTTTAACCATTGCTTAACTGTGATGTATGTGAGGTAAAGGAAATACATACTGTACAAAAGCTTGCTTGGCTTGGACTAAGCAATAACGGTAATAAAAATGTCCTGTTCTTTGTAGACTTGAAAACAACATGAAGCATGAATTAAATTTGTGTAATTACAATTGCCAGTTTTTTTTTTCCAAAGAAAAAAGTGTGAGCCTCCCTCTCACTGCGTTCCACAAATCCCACAGGAAGAGCTCCAGATTACATCACTTCCTCTTGCATTGTTATACAACAGCAGTCAGGCCACAGTTTCTGTGTTGATAGATAACAGGCCTTTTCTGTAACTGTGCATTAAAACATATAATTCAGCATTTTGGAAAATTCACTTTCTTGCTGAGAGTCAGATGGGATTGATGCAACGCTCATCTCTGTTCATTAAGCACACTGCTGGAGGTTATTAGCGTTATTACTAGAAGCAGGAGGAAACAAAGTCCATCTACAATTAAAAATTTACCTCAAGCACTAGCAAACTAGGTACAGTAACTCAGAATTCCCCCTTTTTGATAACTTTTTAAATTACACCTGATGTCTTTAAAAGCCTTAAAAACTTTGAATTCAGTTCTCTCAAAAGAGGCCTTACTAAAAAGCTGCACATTTCATTTAGGTCTTGAATATTTTCCCCTGCTTGACATAGGTAGGAATGATTAATGATAATAATGGCAATGATGGTGCAGTTGCAGGCCTTTGGGAGATTTTATATCTATAAACTTAAAGTGGGTTGGTTTTGACGGTGGATTGTGTTGAAGGAGGATGTTCAGTGCTTTTTGGTCACGTTTTCAGTCAGTACCACCAGATCTGTTGCAAAAACTATCACTACCCCTAGCAACAGCAGATAGTAAATTATTTTAATTGATTAATCTATACATACATTTTCCACTTATCTGGGTCCGGGTCATGCTAACTGATTAGCTGTTGTAGGTTTTATTGTTAAAGGGGAACTGCAGACAAAACATAATTATATAGTTATTTTTGTAATAAAAAGCTCATCTTTTGCATCTTTAAACTCGTGAGAAGAGCACAAACAAAACAGTATTACAGAAACCTTCTAATCAAACTGGCACCGACTTCGACAGAAGTTGTTTGTGACAGGTTTCATAAACAGTGAAACTGGTCTTCCCTTCAAACTCTGAGCAAGAAAGCAAATAAGCATATTTCCCAAAAATTAAAAACCAAAAAAAAAAGCTAAAAAAAAAAACTATTCCTTTAAGATGGTGTTATGAGAGGCTGACATTCTCATACTCGCCATGATCAGAGTCCTCCAGCTCAATACCTGGCACCAGGCTATAGTATTCAGTGGACTGGGTCAGATACACCTTCTCCCTGTCAGCTGAGTCTTTCATCACTTCTGTCACACTGACTGTGTCCAGCTCCATCTTACTGGCCCTGTTGGGCTCCTGGGAACCCAGTCTCTCCTCTGTGGAGCTGGAACAACGTGAGGAAACTTGGGGAAGAGAGTCCACTGAGCCCAGCTTGATCTCAACTTCTTCACAGATGTCCCTGGTGCTGCCCAGGAGGGTGGATGACGGGCACAGCAGCAGCTGGTTCTTCAGGATCTCCTCACTGCCACAGCTTCCAGCTTTATTCAGCTCGGTGGCTGCAGCTGGTTGCTTGTTGCGATGTTTCTGGCCATTGCAACTGGAGCCGGACGCTCTCCTTTTTGAGGCGCTGAAGGCAGATGCTTCTTTCTTCTTCCTCCCACAGCACCAGCACAGCACCAAAGTGGAAAGGATGAGGAGGGGAAGCACGATGAAAAGTGCTGTTAGGCCAGCTGGGCGGCACACATCTCTAAGCCTTACTGACCACACAGACATGCCAGCCAGGTGACTGGGAGAGAAGCAGGTTAAGTTTCCAACCAGCTCCTTTAGCTTAGTGGTCCAATTAGCCTTCCTGCCTTCCTCCAGGTTTTCTAAAAACAAACAGGAGCAATCCCAGGGGTTCCCATCCAGCTCCAGCCTTTGCAAACTGGGCATCTGCAGCAGAGACCCAGGGAGGAAGTGTAGCTGGTTTCCCTGAAGATACAGTTCCTGTAGGCTGTCTGAGTCCTGGAGGAAACCCTCAGGAAGCTCCTGAAGCAGGTTCCCGCTCACATCCACCTCGATTAAGCTGGCGTGGCTGGCCAGAAAATTCTTTGGTAACACCTTTAGTCTATTGTGATTCAAGTAAACCTTCTGCAGCGTAGAGGTCTCTTTACCACTCGTATCAACAAAGCTAATATTACAGTTAGAGAGGTCAAGGGTTTCTACGTTTGTCTCATTGGTAAACACAGACCAGAGCACGTGGCTGAAAGCAGAACCAGAGTAGTTCAGGCAACAGACACCAGCAGGAGCTTCAGATGGAAACTGGGACAAAATGGTGGCTGCTGGACACACACATCCACCCACAAGCCCTGTCTTCAGCAGCAACATAAAAATCAGCAGTGGATTCCACTGGCAAACCATCTCTGAAACAAAAAATGTAGCCAAATAAAATTCAGAAAAGGTTTCTTTAACATGTCATGATCTAGATTCCCTATTTGCCTCTTGGTCTCTCTCTCAGTACTCAAGGGGATCCGCTTTATGTAGCTGACATGGATGTAAATGCGCCTGTAAACCTAGCAACTTCTCCGAGGACTCCCGGTTGCTGTGAGGATCCTAGGAGTTGGCATGGTGACACGGGTCACTGGAGATCAGGAGTCCAGTGTTTGGCTGTGGGAGAGGAAACAGATGCTACTATGACTTTCACATGAAGGCAGTGCCGTGAACTGGCAGATGAGAATTATACAAACATTAGCTGGAGCCTGGTTCAACAAGCAGGTTATATAGATGTCCACCCCGTCAAAGTAGGACTAATGCTCCAGTGCCAGTCTATCTTATTTTTAAGAATACACTCGAGACATTTTTGTTTACTTTCTCTCCTTGTCACTGGTGTGTGTCCGTTTTTGTGAACACTATATATAATTTTATTTGTTGTAGTAATGCAGTCAAGGATTTTTTTTTATTTGACTCAGAATGAGCACAAATACATAAAAAATATACCTTTCAAGAGGGAAAAGTTTGTCTTACTTAGCAGATCATTAAAGAGAATATGAGGAACAATGCTATCTAAATATGAAGTAATTATGAAATGACATACTAATTTTTATGTTTGTTGTTTTGTCTTTCTTCATAAACTGTAGAAGTTGAAAATACCCACACTTCACAATACAAATATAAAACAACACCATCCTTATCATTAAAAACAGAAAAGCCATGACATCCTGACTTTATAGTCCCTAGAATGAGTCAAGCAGCAAAGCCATTGGTTTGCATGATTTATGCTTCCGTAATAAACCAGCCTCCATGCCATGTTTTGTCACTGCTTCTCAGATTTGATTAGAAAAAAACTCCAGAATAGTCCTCCCCATTATGATAAAGATCCATATAAGTTCTACTTTATAATTCTTTATTCTAAATACACAGCATAAGAAGACATAAAAAAAGAAAAGAAAATAATAACAAGAGCAACAGCGGTGGATTTTCAGCCGGAGCAGCCAGTCTCTTGAACAAATACAGGAAGTGTGTCAGAGGAAAAAAACACTAGCCCCAGTTGACTTTTTGTTGTTTGTAGAGATTATCTGTTTGTTTATGAGAGGCTGTATACTGTATGATACTCATTCTGCTTAGCAACAAGGCACTAAATCATAATCTGGGCCTTTGCTGGTCAAAGTGACAGACACAGCCTAATACAGCGACCGGTAAAGGTAAGATCCTTCATGAGAAACATCACATAATACAGCTCACAATTCAGGCAGCAGAAGGCCACCTCTACACCTGAGGTTTGCACCCAATTTCGTTGTACTGTGTACAATGACAATAAAGATTCTATTCTAAACAGCTTTTTGTTTGGAATAAACAGAAGTAGACCTGCCCCAGTACACTATTGTGATGATATTCCACAAGATTCATGCCTTATGTTAACACCAAACATGGGTTTTTGATCTCCACCATCTTTCTCTTACACAGTCAGGGTGATGGAATTCAGTCAGTACAGATAAAACAATGCACCCTGACATTTAAAACCTCCAAGCAGCGCTGAGTTCATCATTCAAACCTTCCTGCTAACACTGTGGCCATGTTTCAGCTTTTCAAGCCAGAGCTACATTTTATTGATAGTTGACCTCTTAATGTGATGGGAGCAACGAAGTATGTCGGATGATGTTGTATCTATAGTGACAAAGTCTGCGTCAGACTTTTCCACAACCTCAGTTGTGTTGATTTTTGTAACAGTGACAACAAAGGTCCTCTAACCTTAACAAAGTCTTTATTTTGAATGAAAAGACAATGATTTTGTGAACCTAACCAACTAGTTTTTATGCCTAAACCTAACCCTCCACAAATTTAACCACAGGTTTACTGTTACCATGATGACAAAGGTCCAGTACACCAGCTGTGGACTCAAACCCCCTTTCACTCTGACGAGGATGAGATTTGTGTGTTTGCATGTAGGTAATAATTTCCTTAGATCTGGATGCGTCACTCCTTTTTTTGAGATAAGTTAAAATGAGTTTTGCAAGTGTTGCTAATTCCTTGCATTCACCCGCTAAGATAGTGGCTCAAGAGTGAGACTCCCATCTCAGTGTGATAACAGAAACAGTCTAAAGGTTAAAGTCGGCGTCATCTCAACATATTCAGTATCTGACAACTAAGGAGGTCTGCATTGTTTGAGGTTTCTGTAGAGATGTCTCAAGCAGACATTCACTCCAAATATTGACAGATGTGTTTAGTTTGAAGTAACACACAAGCATGAGACACTGGTTGACGTTCATGGAGCCTAAGAGTCAGAGTCTGAGAATGAAGGCCTTCATCCAAACAGAGGACTGTTTCTTGGACCATGTCCCATCTGGGTGTGTGTGTGCCCAGTGAGAGGAGCAAGGTTTAAATCTGGATAACATGGATGATCTCACTTACCAACATTCTGGGCTGATACATCCTCTCTGGCTGCAGAGCTTCCTGAGATAATGGTCTCTATTCCTCTTTCATACAGGTTTTCATCATATAATATCTGCATGTAAAACTTTGGCTGCAGCTACAGTGGATTCTCTAATTTTTCAAAATGAATATCTTTACAATTGGCTAACTTTGCTTCAACAAAATAAAAAAATAGCTCAAGAATCAGCGGGTATTTTACAAATGTAGACAGTATTAAAACTGTGTAGGAAAATCTAAAAGTAAAAGTGGACTGAAACAATAACATTTGGAAAACCCCAAATAATTATCATTTTATGTGCCACTGCAGTGTCATTGCACTGGGAGTAGCTGAATCCATGATTCAGGACCCTACTGCTAACATCTGGTTGTAGTTCTGCACAAAATGCACCATAACTCCACCAGTCCACGTTATTACCCACCATAACTGTACCATCATTTGGGGCTAATTAAAGTTCTTACTGTAAATATGCAAATTGCATTTGTCTCGTGTTTGACAAATAAAAATCAAATCAGGAAAACTTCCTAAAGAATGAATGCACACCTGTCTATGAACAAACCGCCCAGACGTAAATAAAACGTAAGTTTCTCACCTCTGATTGCCATGTCTGCTGCAACCCGCATTACGCTGAAACTGATTTAGGGTTCAAACATCACACACACCTATGGCTGCAGCGTCCCTTCCTCACCCCCCCATCAGCTGGCCCCGTTCAGCCTCCTCTCCTCCGGATCGCAGGGTGTGTCTCCCACCGAGCGGCCTGTGATAACACAGCCTCCAGCGTTATGTGGAAAATGTGTGTGGGTCTTAAAAGTGTTTAGTTTATTCACAGTGCTCAGTTAAAGCTGTCAGATCGTCACTGAAGTCAGTACAAAGTCTAACTGACCTGCTACAACCCTGCGACGAGAGAGCGCCCTCTGGTGGCTGAAATGCTATGGTCGTCTAAAGTCGGCTACTAAATTGGGTCTTTACTCAGAAAAGAGAAGTGTAAATAGACAATTTACTCTATGTAGGGTACTAGGATTTTTGCTCCAGTGCGGCTAGTAGCTTCCAAAACTTCGACCCTACTGCCTCATTGTCCAACACTAAAATGAATTACACCGTAACTGAGACAGATGCAACAAACACAACCATAAGAGCTAATCAAGTTAAATATGTTCTGTTTACACTATTTTAGCGCAGAAATAAAAGTTGATAATGCCACTGTATGGGAATAAAAATGATAAAAAAAACATATTTCTACTAAACCCAGTGTGACATATGTACACATCAAAATTCTGTAAATGTTGACAATAACTGCTTAAATCTCATAACATTGAAAAAGAGAAATAACCTTTAGTTTACATTCATGTGAAACTTTGACTGTAAGAACTGTTTCTACTGTGCAATTGTGTATTAAATGCGTGGCAAGTAGATACCAATGTCAACCAGCACTCATTTAGCTCAAAACACACAGCGTTAAATTTTCCATCATCACAGACTGACATGGTCACTTAGATCATTTGACTTTTTCAAACAGAAATATGCCACTCATTCACCAATTCCAGCTCCTCAAATGTGAGGATGTGCCACTTTCCTTAGCAATAAATGACAGTAAACTGGACTTTTAACAGACATTCTGCAAAAAAAAAAGATTTGTAGATGTCATTTTAGGCTGTAGGACCTTATAGGAAGCATTTTCACCACTTTCTGGCATTTTATAAGAATGAACTGGTTAACTGAAACATACAACCTTGTTTTTATTTTGATATAAAAATGGATGGATTTTTATACAGTCAGTGACAATAATAAGACATCTCTGCAATGCTACAAAATCAGTGTAAACATTTTCTGGTTGGTCATTTTCTTAAAGTCTCTGATGAGACAGAAAAGAGTGCAGAGAATTTATTGTAAACAATGCACACCTCTCTCTCACTGAATATAACACTGATGGAAACTGTTGAACAAACATATAAAGGCACTGTGCTGAAGCATCAAGAGACAATATAAAAAAGGACACCGATTATACTTTTGTCTTCATTGTTGTTGGATTACACATATTAAAACGTATTTGTTGGAGTATCCACTGAGAAAAACATTTTAGTGCAGATTTTTTTCTTGTTTTTGTCAGTTTATTAATCCCAGGACTCATCCACTGATTCGCTCTATACCACTGACTGCACATATTGTATATGCAGGAAATACAGTCATTCAAACACATGGGGGCAGCACTGATACAGTTTACTGTTCATTCCACCCTCTTGAGGTTTGCACAGCTGCACTCAAAGAAAATGTAAATTAACCAGCAGTTGCTGGGTGACACTTAAGTTACAAACTAATTGAGCTGCTGATAAATACACAGTTAAAAGAATGGCTTGACATTTTGGAAATATGTTTATTTGCTTTTCTGTTGAGAGATAGATGAGCAAATTGATGCTCCTCCCAGGTCTGTCTGTTAAGTATAACCAGCACCTGATCCGCTTAGCTTAGTCTAAACACTGGAAATGAGGGTAAACAGCAAGCCTGACTCGGTCTTATTAGTGTGGTTTGACACCAGATTGCAGAAAAAGTTCCTAGTTTAGTTGTAATTAATCACTTTTCTTGGGTATGTTTGAATTAAATACGCCTCTAGCTACTGCAAAAGTATTATATTTTGTCTATAACACAACTGCAAGTTTAATTTCATCAAATCTATTATGCTTAAAGTAGTGTTATGGAAGAACATTGGATGCTTCATTTAAACAAATTAAGAGGGTGCACAAAGTGTTGAGCTTTGCAGGTCAGCTGCAATGTTGCTTTGGTATATTGTCTAAGCTTAAATACCAAAAACTGAGGAGGTCCCTACATCGGACAAAAAAGGTATAACCGCCATCTGTAAAAGATTAACTCATTAAAAAGGAAAGGAAATACATGAATAACCCTATTTATATTGATTATAAGGTTGTTTTAAACACAACAGCAGCATTGCTGAAACAAATTCCTCAGGGAAACACTGGGAAATGTAATGTTCCAGTTATTAAGCTTTATAATTATTTGGTAGGCTAATTTTGTTACCGTACCTCTGGATAGGTCTTTCTGTTAAGCTAAGCTAACCTGTAGAGCTAACCTGATTCCAAATGTTGAGTGGAATCAATTTTCTCATCTAACTCTTGGGAAAAAGCAAATATTCATATTTCCCCGAATGTCTGTTTCTTTAAGCGTGTAGACTGCTAACCGCAACTTGTTGTCCAGTATAACATATTGGTTCCCAGCCTTTTTGACCTCTATTTGTCACACACTGTACATATAAACTAAGATTCATATTCTCTTCATTTAAAATTGCTGTTAAAACCCCAAAAAGAAAAAAGAAAAACTTTTCAATATTTCATAAAAAACAAAAAACAACAACAACAACAGGTAGATAAAAGTCCAACAACACAGAACTATGTTGCTTTGCTCTTTGGTATTATATTTTGACCTTATTGACCCCTGGACAGGGACCACTGCACTCTAAGATCTGATTTTGTTCATTCAAAGATGGTTTGAACATTTCTTGGAGGTGAAGCTGCTGAGGAGGCAGAAATGACCTCACTGGTTGAAGCCAGAGAAAAGATCAAATTAACAAAACTTGCAGATCTTATATCTAGACACCAAATAATGTGTTCATGCCTGAATGAAAAAGTCACTGCTATTTACATCTATAATTTGAGCAGATTTTCTCTTTGGTTGTTCAATTTGCACTTCACTAAGAGAACAACGCTAACAAACTCAGTATATTGTTAATGCTACTTTCTGCCGTCACATCGTTCATGCTGCATGTTTTTCCTCGGGAGAACAACGTGAATTTGGTTTTGTTTCTGGTTCTGTGCTGCCATTAGGAGTCCAGGTAGATGGAGTAGATGTGGCTGAGGCAGCGGTCGACGCCTCCTGCCTGGAAAAGGAAGCCGTCATCTGGGCAGGGAGACATGGAGTAACCTCCCTCCGCCTGGCCCTGCAGGTCCTGCAACATGTCAAACCCTGAGAAGAAAGAAACACAAACATATACAGTACAAATGAGCGGCAAGTGAAAAAAACAAACAAACATAAAGTGTCTCAGTGACGTGCTGGGCCACCATGTGCCACCAGAACAGCTTCCGTGCAACACTGACTCTACACGTCTCTGTACTCTACTGGAGGGATGAACACCATTCTTCTAAAATATATTCCCTCATGTGGTGTTTTGATGATGGTGGCGGAGATGCCAACACGCCACTCCAAAATCTCCCATAGGTTTTCAACTGGGTTGAGGTGACCGTGTAAACAGGAATCACTCATAATGATAAACCAACAGAATTATCTCCAATTCTGCAGTTCCCTTTAAATGGGTGGAGCTTCACAGTGAGTTTCAGCTCCTTGTCTTCATTTGTTTTATGGGGGCAGTGTGTTTATAATTGTTCCAAATGAGAGGGAAAAGCTGGCCTTCATAGATTAGGGTGAGATGGGATAATTGTTTAAATATGGAGGTAACGGCGCACAATGTTAGACAGTCTCTGATGGAAGACATTCACAGTGTTTCACTTGGTTGCACACACCAAAAGTGACAGAACAGTTGAGTCAACAATGAAAACAAGAGACGCCTACATTTTCACCTCCATGCACTTGTCACCTGGCAGGACTGCTGGCGTGTTGGTTTCAAAAATTTACAAATACTTTGTCAGACACAGCCCCCTTTTAAAGACCGTTTGTTCATCCAACAGGCACTGTGGTTGGAGCATGCATTCTTGCTGTCTTACCTGCAGAGTGAGAGGCAGAGGGGTTTGTGAAGTAACTGGCGGGTTCAAGGCCTCCGTCGGTGACTGGTTGAACCACCTTTCCTTCTCCATACAGACAGCCTTGGAGAGACACAGAGGAAATGACAATGAACGCCAAGCTCAGGCAGCATCTGTCCTACTGATATGAAAGGTCTGCTGATGTTGACGTGATCAGTGAAGACAGTCAGTACCTTGCTGCTGTGAGAACACCTGCTGCTGCTGGCTGTAGGGTTTCTGGTAGCCCTGCAGCCGGACGTCACCTCTGTCTGATGAGGAACTCACTGGGCTGACCTCAGGGGGCATAAACAGCGATGCTGCTCGGTTCCTGTTAAGACATTTCCAGGTAACTCAACTATTTTTCAGTACCCCAACAAGAATATTTATGAGTCCTCAATCTTGAAAAAAATAATTTTATAAATTCCAACCATGAAGAACTTAATCAGTTTATGTTCTTTCAGCTCTAGCTAACATTAGCTTATTTAGCTAGCTAGTTTTAGCTGACAAAATCTGTTGTAATTTAAGATAAAAAAAATACAAATCAGCAAATCAAAATAATTTGTCTGTCTGAAATGAAAGACTTTGGCAGATTTACCAGTAAATTTAGTACAGTTATACAACTAGTCAAAGGTTTAGACACACCTTCCCAGTGAATTGAATGGGAAAGTTACAAGCTGCATAAATGGACTGGACAGGCACAGCACCATTACGGTGCAGGGATTAGCTAACTTAAACTTAAGAGCTTCATGAGTGCTGCTAGGTGGATTTTGTTATGTTTGGACAGAGGCTGATTTGCTGTTTTCTCACTTTCTACACTAACCAGCTGTTGGCTGCTTCATATTCAACACACAGACTTCAGAGTGGCATTGAACCTCTCGTCCAACTTTTGGCAAGAAAGCAAACAAGCCAAATCTCCTAAAATGTCAAAGTAGTGTTTTAAACACAATTTAAGACAAGAAGAAACAAGAATACATCAAAAGTGACAGATCTGATACTCTAATGAAAAAGATCCTTGAGGATTGATGTGGACTGACAAGTCCTGCATTTTTATACTAATGCCAGCGTCTTGTACTCGCATCCCGTTGGCTTGGACTTCACTGTGGCTTAACTGTTCAAGGTTCCTGTCACAGAGTGTTTCTTAAGCTTCATTAACTTCACCACAATATTTCTGAGCCAAGAACTGTTACGGTAAAATGATGATTAGTAACTCACCAGGGGATAAAACAATTTCATATGAACACATTTTATATGATATATAATATTATTGCTTGGCCTCACTTTTTCTTTTTTTAGCTATTTTTCTCTAATCTTGGGCTTTTGGGGTTTTCTTTTTTTTAATCTTGGTTTTATTCATTTAAATATTCATGTAGATAATTAATTTTAGAGGTATGTCAATGTTAACATAGGGCTCGTCAAACAAAGCAAATTTCTTTCAGCCTATTATAACTTTAGCTGTTATTACAACTTAGCTATTTGTGTGGAGGTGGCCATTATCAGACAAGCATAAATACTTGAACCCGTGTACAAACAGTGCTGTTTAAATAAGCGTTTCCATCTCAAGGGGGTAATGTAGGCGGGCTTTGGAGCGGTATCCATCGCTACGCTGCAAGAATGTGCTGACTGTGTACAAACCCTCTGACTCAACATGGAAACGAATGAGTCTATGGAGCCAAGTTGACAAGGAGAAAGAAAGGCAGCTGAATCTCTCTCCAAGGAGATATGCAGCTGAAAACCCCTCATATGGTATTTGAGTCCCCCCTCCCTCCTTTAAACAGCTCAATCTCAGTATTTCATGTGGCCTGAGAACTCTCCTGGATGATGTACTGTAGCATATTGGTCCCCAAAGACTCAAATGGCCTTGGTTTCTGCTAGAAGGGATTTAGTGGGCTTCATAAACAAGCCAGGCCTCGTCAGAGATACTAATGGCTGCTGGCCCAAGTGCCTTCTATATGTGCATCTGACCAGCTATAAAAAAAGAAAATGTTGAGAGATTTCTTTACATATCTATCATTTATCATCTGCAGGTCTCTTTATTACCCATTTCCCACGTCAAATGCTATTACTTTTAATTTAACAGTCTTCAGTAGAGAAACACAATAAAAGCCAAAATTAATCAGGACTTTTTGAAACCCAAACTGATATAAGTTACAGATGGCTGTGGCATCCCAAGGTAATAAAGACCAGGCTTTGCATAGGATTATGTAAACAAAGGGGGCTTTGATATAATGTGACAGTTACAATTCATGTACTGCGATGACGACAAGCCCCAAGAATCCAACACTTCTCTGGGTTCCCTTCAGTGGCCCCTGAACCATCGGGGCTGACCAAAACAACCGTCTGCTCCACGTCGTACATTCTTGCGACGTTGCAACAACATAGCTGAGATGTCTGAGCCGTGCTCTGCATGGCCCGATCTGTTGTTTTGTGGTTGGCAAGCGCCCAAACTTCTCAGATGTATGAGTTTAACAGTGACCCCATACCCGAGGCAGCGGCTGTCAGCACGACCTCAGGAAATGGTTTCTGTGATCATATTTTACCAGCCACCTGATCACTCACTTTTTTCTTTTAACTAACTACAGCCAGCTGCCCTCCTTATATCTGGAATAAGAGGAATCCTGCTTGCTCTTATGTTTATGTGCCCATTCTACTGTATGTAACCATGCCTTAATCCATTGCTGCTTTTTAATAGCAGCACACAAGGGCAGGATCAGAGGAGGGGATAAGTAGGTTCACCAATGTGCCACTTTGTGCACACAAAACTGATCTGTTTTCAGTTTTAGCAGTGGAAAAGCTGCTGGAATATTTGTGTTATATAGATTTACTTATGTAACGCAGATTTAATGTGGTCTAAGACACTACCAATTAGGTACTTAGAGAAGCTAGAGTGCACTTACTACATGGTAGAGATACAGTAAATGCAAAAATGTGTGGACATGTCAAACCTTTCAGTTAATCCAGCTATTTGGATCCGATGTCACACGGAGCTTCTGCAAAGTAAACTTTATGAAATCTCTGTACTTCAAACTGTGTAATAGTGTTTCTGTGTGAGAGAAAGCCAGCTCAGCACCCCACCCCCAGGACCACAACACAAACACTGCACATCACAATTACTCGGTGATGGACAAATCTCAGCGCGGGCCTCTGAATCCCTCAAGTATTAAATAATTAGGAGAAATTGAAATGGCTTGTCTGAGCCAGAGTAAGCACATGCCTGGCTGTGAGGTCAGATGTGACGCTGGCTGCGAGTGAAGCAAAGATAATGTACTTTCATGTTTTTAATGTCTCTCTAAGTCATCTGGAGGGGAAAACAAGCCCTTGTCTGGTACTGGCTTTGGCAGGCTACTGTGGGCACTGGTTGGATTCTGACATCCTCTGTCTCTATGAAGAGACGTCAGTGGCCAGATTGTGCATAATGTAGCTTCATGGAAGCTGTGCCTGCAAGCGAGGAGGCGATGGAGGCAGAAAGATACTGCATTAAGGCAAGTACAATGATATGTTCTTTAAATGCACATGCACAGAAACTCAAACATTCGATTCACTAAAATATGAGTATTTTTGGTGAAACTCAAACTTTAAACAAGCTAGTTTTACCTCTCAACAGGTGAAACCCTGCGGCAGGTGATACAAGTAAAGCATTTGGATGACATGGGGGTTTGTACTGTGTGTAAATGTTCCAAAAAGTCAATCACCTTCAAGGATATTCATTGTAGTTTATATTTCTCCAATTCACTGACTTTTGAGCATTTCCAATGCCAGCACACGTACAATGAAATACAGCATAATGCAGTTTTATTACTAACATTACAGCGCTGTTTGGGGGGAGTCTGGATTTATGTCCAGAGAGTAAAAGCCCATTGCAACAACTCTTAGACCTCAAGGACACTTGAAAAAATAAAATAAAATCACAGCAAATTATGTGCTTTTACAACTTGCAACTTCTTTAACTTGAAGGACTTTTAAATTGACAAAGTGTTTAAAGAACTGAAATTGAAAGCAGTGACGCATTTCAACAGGCTGAGTAAATACTTGCACACTGTTATTTCCCAGGTAGGTGAAATTTTCCAGGAAGTGGACCTTGTGCACAAAACTTCATCTGTATTTCTTGATTTGAGAAAAATATATTTTGTTGAGGATTAAACATTTTCTGTCAAAGGTCAATATGAAACTTTGAAGTTCATCATTTTATAGTTTGGAATTAATGTGTAAAGAGAACAACGCATCTTAAAACCTCAAAACATGAACTTGTGGACTTGCTAGACAAAGTCACAAGAAAATATATGCATTAGTGAAAATTTTGTATCATTTTTTGAACCACAAAAATGTTGGTCTTTACCAACTTTCTTTTATTGGATAAACTGCCTTTGTTGTCGCTTTTGTGCTAATAAAGGTTTGTTTACAGGCAAAGCTTCAGTGGCCAATGATTTGAGGCCATAGAGAAACTGGTGCCCTGGAGGCTTTCAGCTGTATCTCTTTAGTCTCACTTCTATTTTTACACTGGGCTATAGACAAAATTTGTCTCAGTTTACAGTACACATAAGTTTTGTGGCCTCCAACTACTCAATCAGTGTGACCACAAAGCCATAACTCCATCTCTGGTGATAATGTCTCTGGTTGATTCAAGAATGTGTAAGCTCACATCAGTTTCTGTGCATGTGCTTTCCAGACAAGAGGCAAAGCAAAGTGACTCTGAAATGTTTTAGGTATACATGTGTTAGAAACATGATGTAGGGGTTTGACAGAGCACTTGACTCAGAAGTGTCAAGCGGTTTGACTACAATACATGCCAGGATCATCAGTTGAATACATTTAAATGGCCAACATATTTTGGGGTGAAAACCCAAAAATTCTCGCATACTGAGAGGAGCAGAAAGTGTAATCCGTTTTCACTATTTTTGTCTTCAGC